GGTCTCTAGCTGATTTTGATTCCCCAGGTGCTGGACTGAATGATGGGCAGTGGTTCACAGGGGTCTCTAGCTGATTTTGATTCCCCAGGTGCTGGACTGAATGATGGGCAGTGGCATTCGGTCTCCCTGACAGCCCAGAGGAACCAGCTAAGTGTGGTGGTGGACCAGGCCGAGGCCTCAGTGGTTCACGCAGAGCTGCCTCTGGAGACCCACACAGGCAGTGCCTATCACTTTGGAGGTGAGTGTTGAGGTTGGGACCCCGTGGGACCCACCTGGCTGGTACCCACCCAAACTCCACCTCTCCTGCCCCTGGTCTGTGGCTGACATGACTTTTTTCTACTGATCATGTGTGGCCGATTCCCCAGAAGCTCAGCAGATATGAAGTACTTTTTTCTCGGCAGTTGTATTGAGGCATAATTTATGTTAACCCGTGAGAGTCCCCTTGTCATTAGGATGCCCTTTTCCAGCTGTATCTGTTAGAGCCTTAGTGCTTGATCCCCCCCTTCCAGGGAGACTCCCCAGTTCCCTTTCCCCGCTGTCCTTCTGGGGCCAGGTGCTGCTTGGGTCACTGGTGAGGCTTCTCTGAAAGGCTGGCTCCCAAGGGTAAGCGTCAGTGAGGCTGGTCCTTCCGGCCCCAGGCAGCTCCTGGCCAGCCACTATGAGGACAGTGGCACCCTCTGCCACGTTAGAATTCTACCAGTCAGTTCACTGTCCACTTCTCCCTCAGGCCAAACCTTCTTTGTTGGGGGGCCCCTGGCACAGTGCTCCGAATTGCCCCATTAGGCCCGCTAGAGGACCCTGGATGCCCAGTCCCCTCTGCATAGTGGACTTCGTGTGGTTCAGTTTCACGCTGACCACACGCAGCATGGGATGGACGGCCGGGGGCCCGTGCACCACACCCCCCTCTGGGGAGGCCTCACCAGCTCAGAGCAGCTGGTCCCGTGGTGGAGCAGGGGGCACAGACAGGTCTCTAGGGGCACTTCCAAGGCAGAGGCCCCAGGCGTGCCCCCAGCGAGTTCACGGTTGTAGCTGGCCTGCCTTTGGAAAGAACCAGAGGCCCATTTCCTCGCTCGCAGCAGAGCCTTCCAGGCCAGTGTTTGGATGATGTGCTTGCTATCACGCAGACCCTTACATTTTATGATACTAAGATGTTCTTGTAGAAATCTTTGTTTGTTTGACCAAATCGCCCAGTACAAATCTGATTGCTATAAAAATCAAATTCATGTCCCTTACTTTGCGGAGGCCGGTCTTCAGGACAGGCCGACTGGAACAAGGCCGGGTGCCATGAGCTCCCACACCTGGGGCTGCTTGTTGCTTCCGGATGAATGGCAGGTGCCCCGTCAGCTTCTGGCTTAATATCATCTTCAAACACTGTGATTTCAGTAATTTGTACTTATAATAATACAGTTTGTTATTTTGTTTCTAATTTTAAATCCACGTACATTTAAATTGTTTTGTTTATGATGCATCACAGAAGGAAGAGCTAACTCTCTAGCGTGCTTTAAGATCCTACTTCAAGTTCAGCCTGAATTAGAGACTCCAAGTTGCTTTCAGCTAAATTCTCCTTCACTGTCACTCTACCCCCTGCCGACCTAGCTTTCTCTGCCCCCCAAGTAGGCGCGAGGACAAGGGGGTCCACATGCTGGGAGCCTCTGACAGGGACGAGCCGCCTTTCACAAGGTGATGTCGCGGCCCCCGCCCTGAGCCTGTCTCTCTCTCGTGTTCCTGCCTCTGAGCAATCAGGGTGCCTCCCTCCCAGCTCCGGGTCTGAATGCGAGGCCTCGCCTGCTGGATTCCAGGGGTGTCTGAGGCTCATCTCCATTAATGCCCAAGAGGTGGATCTGATTTCAGTACAGCGGGGAGTGTTTGGGAACTCCAGCGGCCTGGACATCGACTCCTGCGGCATTCTGGACAGGTGAGGTCACTGCTCCCACCCCTGTGCTCGGACCTGTGATGGCAGATCGCAGGCGCTCACGGCTGGGCGTGCTTCCTCTCCCTCTGGGTCCCTGGAACCTCCTCGTGCTGCCCTTCCCCCGCTGTCCACGGGGAGTCCGAGAAAGTGAGAAAACGGTGTCTATGACTGTGTAGAACACCTTCTTTGGAATGACGCATTTGGGGGGAAGGTGCATGCTCTTGACTACCCTTCTCCCATGTCGGCGAGCTCCCTGACTCAACATGGCTGCAATGTCCACGGAGAGAGATAGGTCAGTAGCATGTTGCCGGACAGCATGGATCATGACGACCAGATGCCGGAGACCAGAAGCCCGTGTGGTCGGGGTGGAGTGTCCGGAAGGTGGGCCGCCGAACTGCCCCAGGTCCACAGGGGCAGCGAGAAAGGGCCTGCCCTGGGGACAGGTTGTTAGGACCCAGGAAGGGACGAGGAGCTCCCTGAGGACCAGGGGTGACCTCAGAGGTGTCTCTGGGGATGAGAAGTAAGTAAAATGCAGGAAGTGGGAAGGAAGGAAGAAGGTCAATGTCGCTGAGGCAGGAAAGCCAGGCTCTCACAAGGGGGTGATTTGGGTAGACAGACTGGCTGGCACCTTCCTCCCGCAAGTGCTAATATATTTTTGGATAAACGCTACAGCTTGAGAAACCCCTTCTTCACGTGTATGAGCAATTCAGAACGAATTCACATGCACCTGTTGTCTCTCTTCTTAGCTTAGTCACATCCTAGCCCTTGTTGTACAATAATCAGAATTCAGTGTGACCTTCACAAAATTCATCGTCACTTGCAATCCTCAATAACAGCAGGACACAGGGGTGCCTGGTGCCTCAGCCAGTTGAGCGTCCAACTCCTGGTTTCAGCTCAGGTCAGGATCTCAGGGTCGTGGGATCGAGCTCCCTGCTCAGCGGAGAATCTGCTTCTCCCTCTCCCTCTGCCCCTCCCCCTGCTTGTGTTCCCTCTCTTGCTGTGTCTCTCTGTCAAATAAATAAATAAAATCTTTAAAAAATTTTTTAAATAAAATAAATAAATAAATAAAATAACAGCAGGACACAGTCCTCACCAGCAGAGTGACTCACCCTCTCAGACGTGGTTTCCCCACATGCTCATTGCATCAATTGTGGGCGGAGTGGCCCTTCTCTGGTGAAGGGAGACTGTAGCCAAGGTCTGGGTTCCCAGACCTTCAGGGGAAACCGCCGCATCATGTGTAGGGCACAGTCACCCAGCGCACCTGGCTGGAGGGGCTCGCACACCCCAGACCCACACTTGGCGGAGGGGTCGCTGGGGGCACGGCTGTCAGCAGGAAGGTAGCCTTGGGGGTGGCTGGACATGGTTCCAGTGGCCCCATCAGCTGCTACCTCAGCTCTTGGGAAATTTCTCTAACATACAGCCTTTAACAAGCAATCTATGGGGACCAGTTTGTGCATAAAACTCATAGTAAAGGCAGATTTTTAACACAAACATAGAAAACGCATCATCTGTCATATAAAGATTCTTTATCACGTTTACCAAAGATCAGGTTGTGAGGTTAGAGCTTAAAATAAAACTTCAGTCTGAGGCTCCAGAGGAGATACAAAAGTGGCAGGAGGGTGTGTAACTTGTACATAGTATCTCTGGACAGGTTCTGCTTTGACACCTCTTCTGCTTTGAAAGCGTCTCTTGTATCATCTCTATGTACTCTGATTGGGAAAAGGTAGAAACAAATGTGTGCGAAGCCATCCGTCCACGTAGTGTGTGTGAATCGTGTTTTCTTGTTGGCCGCTGACGTGGAAGAACAGTTTGTCTCTTCACTTCCAGCTTGATGGACATTTGGGTTCTGTCCAGTTCGGGGCTGTGACCACGAAGCTGCTATGAATGTTCAGGTACAAGTCCTTCCGAGGTCCACCTCCACTGTCCTTGAGCAAATACTGGAGGGGACTGGCCAGACAATGTGGGGGACAGCTCTAGGTTTGAGGGTGCCGCCAACCTTGCCTAAGGTGATGGTCCAGCGTCCAGTCCCCCAGCAGGGCGAGGCAATCCCGGTCCCCCCAAGTCCCCGCCAGTACTCACTGCGGTCAGTCCTCCGCACTGCAGCCTTGACATGGGGCGCACGGACGCCTCCCCATGGTCTGTGCCTAACGCCTGGCCTTGTGGAGTCCTTACCTGTGGAAACGTCTCCTCAAGTCCTTTGCATGCTCTTTAGAATTTGTTTTCTTATTGAGTTTTGAGAGTCCTTTCTCAGATATATGCTGTATAAATGCTCTTCCTCAGCTTTGTTTCCTTATTCTCCAACGACATCTTTTGAAGAACACAGTTCTTGATTTATACAAAGTCAAACGTACCCTTTCTTTTCCTTTTTATGAGTTGTGCCTTTGATATCCTACTTAAAAAGTTTCTGAGGGGCTCCTGGCTGGCTCACTTGGACTTTTGATCTCGGGGTTGTGAGTTCTAGCCCTACATTGGGTGTAGAGATTACTTACATAAAAGAAACTTGAAAAAAATAAAAAAGAAATCTGACTAATCTGAGGTCACAAGAATTTTCTGCTATGTTTATTCTAGACTTTTAGATTTAATTTATATCTGATAAAGTTCGAATATTTCTTAATATATGGCACAAGGTAGGCAGGGTTTTTGTTTATTTTGCATATAGACATCCAGCACCGTTGTATGGAAGTGGGACCTCTCCTCCCTTCCGCTGGCTTTGTGCCTTTGTGGAAACCCAGCTGTGACATGGGCTTCTGTCTGAGCTGCTGATTTAGTTTCTTTGATCTATTTATCTTTCTGCCAATTCCACATGTTCGTGGTTATAGTCACATTATAATAACAACTGGAATCAGATGTTTTTGCCCTCCTAAATTTGTTTTGTTTTTAAATTGTTTCTGTTGTATTACATCTTTGAATTTTCATAGGAATTTTGGAACTGGCTTGTGAATTTCTTTTAAGAATCCTGCTAGGAATTTGATTAGGACTTTGTTGAATCTATACATCAATTGGCAGTGAATTAATCCCTCTCTGTGCAGTACGAGAACCTAAAAAATAAAAAGTCTTTTCCTTTCTCCCTCCAGCTTTCGTGATTTTGCTGCCAAACATTTTATCAACTCTCACTGTAAGCCCTTCCCTGCATCTTGTTTTATTTCTGCTTAAACAGTCGATTCTCTTTTAACAGAATTTAAATAATAATCATAATCTTGGGTCATTTTCATCTGTCTGAGGTTGCCGTTGGCATTCACCTCTCAGGCTCTTAGTGAATTTTTTCAACACTGGAATCATCCTGATGGAATAAACAAGCCGAGTCTCTCCCTTTATTTCGTGACAGTAAAAATCCCAAAATTTCCTCCAAAACTTCCAATCTGAAAATAGGAAAAATGGATTCAGCCAACTGATTGTGAAATGCAGGTCAATTAGAAAAGAGTGTATTTATCATGGAGTGGGAAATTTAGCCTTGAGTTTCCTGCTAAACTGGAAGCATTTTCTTTAGGGTCTGGAAATAGCAAGCGCCACCCCATCTATAATCTGCATGTCTGGTTCATCACTCATTTTGCTGGTCTTGCGGTTGTTGGTGAAACCCCTTCATCCTACAGGCATCCACCAAAGGCACACATATAATATTCTGAATAAACTATAGCAACTGTGTTCATGGGTTTCCTCAAGCTATCAAAAGTGCTGATACAAATATAAATTAGATGACATGGAATTCTCATGACAGATTAATGAGTCATTTTAAGAAATTTTCTGGGTAAAGTTTGTATCATGTGTGATTACAGTTCCTATGCTTATGTATAAATACAAGCACATGCATAACCCTGGTGGCTATTTTGTGTGCTGTGGTTTTAAGTGAGTTCTGCTTCCCTTTATGAACTCTCTAGACTGAATATTTGATAATGGACATTTGCTGTTTCTATTCAAGAAAATCAGTTCTACTAAGATCAATTAAAATTCACAGAAGTCCTGCAAGTGAAAGTTCAAGCGTCCCGTTTAATTTTAGTTGGGCAGATTACAAAATATCCATTGTGCATAAATGGTGCTGAGTTTTCTTGAGTATTTTCTGATTTACTTGTTTATCTTGGGGGAATATAACGCATGTATGCCTTTGATCACAACGGGCCTTTTATTCCAAATACCAAGCAAAGAATCAGAGCAATAGGTGAGCCTGGGATACATGGCCTGTGGGCGGCTGGCCCCTTCTTAGTCTCTGCATTATTTCCATCCTTTCTCTCAAAACTCTACATGTGGCAACAATCCAGCATGACGCAGTGTCGCTGTTGGCTTCTGCAAGCGACTTCTGTTCCCGGCCCCACAGAGCGTCCACGCTGTGCTCCCGTGGCAGGAAACGTGTTTCTCCAGCAGACGGGGGAGCACACGTGTCAGCCCCCTGAGTCAGGGTTCATCAGCCCGGGGCTGGTGCTTGCTCGGTCATCACGCGCCGTGGGCGGCCGCTGTCCCCTCTTCGATGTCCCCGCACGTCGGCTAGCGGGACGGTATCCCCCAAAGAGCAGGAGTCACACGGAGACCCTCCCTGCTCTTCTTTCAGGTGCTTGCCCAACCACTGTGAGCACGGTGGCAGGTGCTCCCAGACCTGGACAGCCTTCTACTGCAACTGCACCAGCACGGGGTACACGGGCGCCACGTGCCACCACCGTAAGCGCTCTGCCCCGCCCCCTCCTGCCCCTCCTCTGCCCCGCCCCCTCCTGCCCCTCCTCTGCCCCGCCCCCTCCTGCCCCTCCTCTGCCCCGCCCCCTCTGCCCTGCCCCCTCCTGCCCCTCCTCTGCCCCGCCCCCGCCCGCCCCTCCCCTGCCTTCCTCTTCCGGATGCCTGTCCGCGTGGCTTTATCTACAGCCGTGACCCACGCACGTGCACCAGGGTCTGGTTGTGTTCTAGGTGGCTCACTTAAAGTCACTTACGTAAACATAAAAATTGATAGAAAAGAAGAAGACAATGGACAAAAGGAAAATAAACCTAAGAAAATCCATTGTAACCAAAGAGAAACCTGAAACAAAGTCAATCATTCCTAAATCAATCTCTGGTTGGGTTTCTTGAGTTGGCCACAGTTTTGCTTCTGAGCTTTCTGGCAACACCACACAACGGAAATGTGATTGTTACTAGGTTATTAATGCTCACAGAAGTAAACAGATTCCCAGGAGAATCCTGGTAGGACCCGGAGGTCTTTTGATGGTGGTGGTGATAATTGCAGGTTCGTTTGTGGGACGTCTTAGGTGTCAGGCCCTGTTCTTTGCCTCTTGTGCATTACACAATCCCATCCGCACTATGGGCATGACTGAAATCCCATTATCCGGTGAGGAAACAGCCGGTTCTATAACTAGTGTGGGTTTCTCACCTATAGCATCACTGAGGTTTGGGGCCAGAGAAGCCTGCTAGGGCCGCCCTGCGCACTGTAGGACGTTCAGCCGCATCCCTGGCCTCCACTCACTGGAGGACAGTGGAGCCTCCCTCTGTTTTCTCCAAAATTGCCCCAGGCTGAGAGTGCCGCCTTGGTGGGATGCTCTGCACATTTTATATAATTTAACCTTAGGAGACTCATGGAAGGCAGGCAGGTGGGGATGCCATGAAGTCCTCTCTCACAACGGGGCCTGCGTTTTGGGAAGGTGACCCACTGGGGGTCTCAGGGTCTGATCCTCGGGGAGGACCTGGGACCAGGACCCTGTCTCACAAGGACGCCTGGAGGAGAGGGAGGAAGACAATGGTCAAGAAGGGCTCTGGGCAGCCCCACCTTCTCAGGCTGGCTCCGAGTGGCCCGCGGGGGGGAGGGGAGAAGAGGTTCCAGAACCAGAACCCAGGGCCTGAGGGGAGGAGGAGCCCCCACGGCTGTGTCTCCTCTCATCCATCCCCCGTCATGCCCAAAACAGAACCCCCGCACAGAGCAGATGCCTGGTGGATGTGCTTTTAATGAATTGACTTTTCTAGTTTAATTCTTATGAGTGACTGTCAGTCCTCGGGCTCCGAGGAAGCAGTCGGAGGATAAATGAATGGGCTCTGCTTCTGCGAGCCGCCTGACCCACCCAAGTGGGTATCACCGTTGTTCTCCCCAGAACAGCAGATGGCCCCCAGTAACGCACCGGTGAGGCCGCTCTGAGACATGGCCGGGAGGGGACCTAACTAGCCCAGGTCACCCCCCTGCTCTTAATTGGGGTGGGAGGGGCGAGGTGAGCGGACACACTGTAAAGAACAAAGGTTCATGTGTTCCGGGGCCGTCTGCCAGCAGATAAAGCTCCAGCCAAACACTCGTGGTCTGGTTCCTGGTGACGGGACAGTACACCAAATTCTGCACTGGACCAAGTAATCGAATTTGCCTGTAGAGGCTTAACAGCATTGTAAATCTAACCCTCCTACCTCCTTCATTACCTTATCACACACAGTCCTTTAAACAATGGTTCCACATTTTCAGATTTGGTCACATTTCCTCCCGGAGGGTGATTATTTGCTATGATGCAGAACATGGGGTCTCCTTCACCTCCTCCTTATTAATGTAGGACTCTCCCTCCATCCCATTTCCGGTGACCGACTGGTGGTTCTCCCCAGCCCTCTACGAGCAGTCCTGCGAGGCATATAAGCACAGGGGCAAGTCCTCAGGGAGATACTACATCGACCCTGATGGCAGCGGACCCCTGCAGCCCTTCCCCGCGTTCTGCAACATGACAGGTGAGTCAAAAATTTCAACTCTTAGAAACAAAAATCACAGCCCGGTAAGTAGATTTGTACCTGCCTGACAGCTTTATTAGGATAACCTTGTGAGAGCAGTTATTCAATAGAAGCATTTGATATAAATCATTAAAAATAGTTCAAAAGTGAAAATTCATAATTATGTCATTATTTACATGCATGTACTCTGTGGAATATTTAATAATACAATTTTGCCTATTAAATCCTGAAACAAAAGGTTTTTCAAGACTTACCTGTTTGGATTCATGGATGTGCAAGTCAAAAGCATTTTCACCTGTTTTGTTGTTGTTGTTGTTGTTTGAGATCTTATTTATTGCAGAGAGACTGAGAGCACGAGTGCAGGGAGGGGCAAGAGGCAGGGAGAGACAGAATCTCAAGCAGGCTCTCCTCTGAGCACAGAGCCCCATGCGGGGCTCAGTCCCACGACCCTGAGATCATGACCTGAGCCGAAATCAAGAGTTAGGACGCTCAACCGACTGAGCCACCCAGGCGCCCGCATTTTCACCATTTTACATAAGTAAAAATTGTGTACATTTCAGCTAGACAGCTTGATGGTCTTTGAGTGAGTGTGAACATTCGATGTGTGTGATTGGAGCTCCCTAATCCCCGTCCACACCGGAGTCCATGCGTCCACCCCTCAGCCCACGCTGCCCCTCGCCCCCGGGCAGGACACCTTCCACGATGCATCTCTGCATTGCTGTGTGACGTTAGCTCCAGTCTCCAGACAGAACTGCCTTCTCTTTAAATTTTCTACCTTGCTGTTTCCGATAGATAGTGTTATCCAGATTTTAGAGTGTCTCCCTGGGCACTAGGTTGGATGCTATCCCCCCAAAATTCACGTCCCCCTGGACGCTGCGAATGTGACTGTGTTTGGAAATAATGTTTCTTCAGATGTGGTCCAGCTGAGATGCGGTTGTGCTGGGTGAGGGTGGGCTCTGGGGCAAAGGCCCATGTCCTGATGAGGGGAGGGGGACTGGGGACCACGGACACAGGAGGGGAGGGGTCGTGTGACCAGCAGAGGATGGCCAGGGTTCCAGCTACACCAGCAGTGCTGCAGGAGGGCGTGGTCCGGCCACCCCCTCACTCGGGCTCTGGGCCCCGGGTGTGGGAGAACTGACCTGGGTGCACAAAGCCACCAGGCTGTGGTGCTTTGTTTCAGCAGCGGGGAAGACAACACACCCTGTTGCAAATTCCCTGAGGAAAGAACCATTTCTGGATAGATTTTTTTTTAAGATTTTATTTATTTATTCATGAGAGACAGAGGAAGAGAGAGAGAGAGAGAGAGAGAGAGAGAAAGAAGCAGAGGGAGAAGCAGGCTCCCGAAGAGCAGGGAGCCCAATGCAGGACTCGATCCCAGGACCTTGGGATCATGACCTGAGCCGAAGGCAGATGCTTAACCATCTGAGCCACCCAGATTTTTTTAATGATTTTTGAATAGTTTAAAACCATTCCCATGAAATTTTTTATTTTCTTTCTCCTCAATTCTCAAGATAAAATCTGAGTGTTGCTGCCTTTAACCAAATTATTTGAACAAACGTGAGTCAGGCAGGTCTTCCTCCCGAGGTTGTGGAGCGGCGGGGATGGAGCGGCAGTATGCCGGCAGCGCGGGGCTCAGACGAGCATTTCCACACCAGCGCCCAGACCTCCGGTGGAGACACGGGTCCGTGTCTGAGACAGCTGGGCCCAGTAAACAGTGAGGGGAAGTCCGAGGCTGGTATCTGGGGACCCCTGGTTCCGCAGGTAAACACAACTCCCTCTGGGGTGTCTTCTGCTTGGAGGCAGTGCGTGGCCACCTGGTCCCTGCTGCACCTGACGTTCTCTGCAGACAACGGGCACGCGTGCTGGGATCCCCTTTGGGTGTGCAGCAGCGCTGAGCCGTGTCTGGGCGGGCGGCGGCACTGAGCCGTGTCTGGGAGCGCAAGAGCGCGGAGCCGTGTCTGGGTGCACAGGAGCGCAGAGCCA